CCCGGCGCAACCCCTGTAATCTAGGATCTATATATAGATACAATCCTGAAAGCATTGAAATCTGATGAAGAACCTGTCGATTTTATTCGACACACGGTAACTACTAAAAGAGACCAGTTTTAATGAAGTCAGAGAATGGTCAGCTTTTCATGAATGTGGGTGGCTGTTCGAAACCTACCAACGCCTAATACCAATTTGCCTTTTTCGAGTTATATGTACTTTCTAAGATTATTTAGACACCACTGACAAACGGTGAAGGAAAACATCGTGAGGAAACCTGGGCTTATAAATTCTAATTATAAGTTTGAAATCGCCAACCCGCATTGAGCAAGCGTGGTGAATAATGCTCAAACCTTCTCAGTGTGAGAAGAGGCTTTGCTCAGCAGTGGGCATTTAATGGCTGATGATGATGATGATCATTGTCCGGCTTTGTGTGATCTTTCCACACATTCGACCTGTTTAGACTGGTTTAATATAGTTTGATACAGATCAAACTACGGCTACAGAGCCGCATGTTATTTTCATTTGTTGTTTTGGGTCTTTCTTGTAGGGAGAGTAACTTAATAACAGACTAATGTTGAGCTATATCCATTTTATTTCCAGAAATCCAACTGGAACCCAGAGACCATATCTATGGTATTACAAACTATGCATCTGGATTGCTTCGCATAGCCACCATCAAAGGAAACGCAGAGTTCGCCAAGAAATTATATGCTGGACCTATCATGTCCGATTCTGAACCTTACAGGTTGGTAGCAATTCTAAACAGTGTTCGTTTAAAAGAAAACATGCAATAAAGTTCAGTTTTCAGTAGCAATACTATACTCGTTAAACTATTTTAACTGCGTAATTAATTTGAACTTTATTGTTATTGGGATTAAGGCCTACACTTGTAACGATTTTTTTAGCTCCTAATTAATAATTCAATTACATTATTTATGTTACAGATCATACTACTTACAGCAAAAACAAGGCGTTGATCTTTGGAGTAGAGATTTCCACAACTACACCCTTGACTGGAGACCAGGTATTATTTTTGCATATCTATTGCATTTTCGATGCGGTGGACAAATGACATAATCCAAGTGGCTGGCAAACACTGGACGAATGTCGCTAAGAACAGGGCCAAGTGGAAAGCACTAGAGGAGGCCTTCACCTTCGAATAAAGCGAGGGGTTCTTACTATAAGTAAACTAAGAAGCATGTGAAGTAAAGGAAAAATATTATTACGTAAAACCAATTTCTTTTTCTATTCTTTGTGAATTTGTAAGAAATCTAAGGCCTTTTTTATTTTACTTATTCATTATTGCATTTTCGATAATCTGTTATTGATTGACTGCCTCATCGGCCGAGTTTTTTTCTTTTGGTTTATGGAATAGGACCAGACAGATCACCTTATGGTAAGCAATCAGCACCGCCCATGGACACCCGCAATACCCGAGTGGTCGCCAGAGCGACTGCCGAGCAAGGGGTCTCGGCCTCGATCCCGGGTCGAGCAGAGTACATATTTAAAGTCAGTTGTAGCACGGAGTCTGTAATTATGCCCGGTATACGGCAATAGGCTCACCCCCCTATTACATGGGACTCATAACATAAATAGTGAATCGTGGGTGTTACATAGTAACCCGTAATGTGTATCTCTGCCTACCCCTTCGGAGGTAAAAGTCCAGATGTCATGTTATCTAAATTATGTCTTTCGTCTTCTTCCAGGCAGCATCTCCCTCTACGTCGATGGGGAGCAGTATGGTGCAGTAAGTCCTCCAGCTGAAGGGTTCTACAAGACTGCCAGTGAAAACAATGTGGCTGCAGCTGCCCAGTGGCTTAGAGGCACTGTCATGGCGCCCTTCGATGACATGGTTAGTATAAAGCATTCATCATTATCATTGGATTATTTTTATATTTGATGGGCCAACGTTTGACCGATATCTCGCCTGGTTGCAACCGATGATGCGGTCTACGATAGATCACGTCGTCCCATAAGCAACCTATTCACTCGGAATTTGAAGACACCCAGGTCTACCCTTCAGGAGATATAGACTCTGGCAAAGAATTCCACTCAATAGCAGTACGCACAAGGAAGCTTTTTTTTAAGAGGGGAAAATCTTCGAATGACTGCTCCCGCCTGGGTGAGGCGGGAGGGAGTGTCAGACTCCTGACTAAAAACCACCCCGTTCCTTCTGCACGTCGAGCCGGAGCCCCGGTTACCCGTATGAAAGTTCAGATTTCCTTAGGATGTTATTCTTAATCTTCTGCCTGTTGTATCTTAAGTGAAATTAGAAAGTACATACATATAGGTAGGAAAACACTACTAGGTCACGTTAATACTTGCTCGGCTTCAAAACTGTTCTCTCGTGCTTAACCTCTGGACTACCATGTCTTTAAAGAAAAGACGAAAACACGAAGACCTTTGAAAACTTAAACTGGTAATGCCCTCATGGTCTTTTAAATATTTATGAACCTAGCGAAAAATGGATGTCACCATTTAGAGAAGAAAGAAGAAGGAGAGGAAAAAGAGGTAAAAATACTAAAATTAACTTCTTCTTTGCAGTTCTTCGTGTCATTAGGCCTAAACGTGGGTGGTGTGCATGAGTTTGCTGACGCCCCCAACAAACCCTGGACAAACCGTGCCACTAAAGCCATGCTAAACTTCTGGAATGCTCGCGACCAGTGGTACTCCTCTTGGTACGATGACAGCAGCGCTCTGGAGGTTGACTACGTCAGGGTCTATGCTCTCTAGAAGGTCAGTAGACTTTTGTACCTCTGCTATTATCTTTAAATTCATGGTAATTGGGCCTCCGGTAACCTCACTTACGTGACGAAACACAACGCAAGTGTTGTTTCACGTCGGTTTTCTGTGAGGCCGTGGTATCACTCCGGTCGAGCCGGCCCATTTGTGCCGGAGCATGGCACTCCCACACTTATACCGCACTTATACAGTACAGTTATACCTGAATTATTTTTTATTAATACCTACCTCTTTGTTTTATAGATGGGAACATCTTCATAACGCACAAACAACTCAACTGCCTGATAAATATTAATAAATATATTTTTTTTACTTTTACATGGATTTTCTTTGCATTTTCCAGCATTTTCTCTGCCTTCCAATCCTTTGTCCTTTATATTAAAAACTAGCTGATCTGGGGGCTTACTCTTGAATCCAATTCCGATCCATCGACATTGGTATTGTGAAATTTCGTACTCTTGAGTTGCAACACTAGCGCCCATTGCATACGTATTGCGTGGATATTGAATGAACTAAATGGTATTGAGTTTGGCTTCATATTCCGTACTCTGAATGCTATTTTAACAGCTACGATTATGGTTGTATATGTAGTTTTGAAATTGAATGATAAGGTTTTTTTTTATTATTCTCTTTTATTTGGTAAGGGAATGATAAGGTAGATAACTGATTTTTATTTTAATGTCCGTCTGGTAGATTATTTTAAAACATTACACACGTATTTTTTTTTACAGAAACGAATACTTCCGGCGATATATTGATTTGAAATGTCGCGCGTGACGTCACTTCTATGTACATTTCATACGTAGAAATGACGTTTTAACCCCCAATCCTAAACTTTGGTTCGTTATATCTAAGTATCATTTTATTATACATCAAATCAAAAAAACCTTGTCTAATATTTTTCCATTACCTAACTGACGGACTAATTGATTTTTAATTTTCATACCCTGTCTTCATCCCTATTATTAAGATTTTATTGGATTGAAATTGCATTGACATTGAGATTGGTTTCAAGAGTACCTAAGCACCCCGGATAACTTTGTACCGCGTCAAACATTATTTTCTCACCTTTTAAAACCTTTCCTGGGGTTTTACAAATATTCAAGACTAACTAACGTACCTCTAAATAATATGCTTCTGAGAATCAAGTAGGTAATGTAATCACTGATTAACTCGTCGAGTACCGGTTTTGTAGACACAATTATAGAACAATAGGTTGCGGTCACCGGTGACCGCTTGGTATTTGACAGTTTAACTCGTCGAGTACCGGTTTTGTATACACAATTATAGAACAATAGGTTGCGGTCACCGGTGACCGCTTGGTATTTGACAGTTTAACTCGTCGAGTACCGGTTTTGTAGACACAATTATAGAACAATAGGTTGCGGTCACCGGTGACCGCTTGGTGTTTGACAGTTTAAGAATGAATCACTAAATAATATAAAACAAAGTCGCTATTCGCCGTCTGTCTGTCCCTATGTATGCTTAAATCTTTAAAACTACGCAACGAATTTTGATGCAGTTTTTTTAATAGATAGAGAGATTCTTAAGAAGGAAGGTTTATATGTATAATACATGCATATTGCACCCGTGCGAAGCCGGGGCGGGTCGCTAGAACATGAAAAATAGAATACGTAACATAATCTATACAGATAAATAAAATTGGAGTATCTGTGTGTAATATTAAAATCACCGCATTTTACTTATTATACTACATGCTCATGAATAGGATACATAAGTACATTGTATGAGACATATACCAAAACATTTTTTTTTCATTTTTTGTCTGTCTGTATGTTTGCACTGGCTAATCCCTGGAATTGTTGGCCCGATTTTGCAAGACTTTAATTGGCAGTATGTACTACAGAGTAGGTAACATACTTTTGTTTGAAAAATTAAAACAAAAGAAATATGTTTTACGCGGACGAAGTTGCGCACAACAGCTAGTCATAATTTATAAATGTACATACTTATGTGTTAACTGAATTCGTTAATTATTTTCCTCACTTTAACAAACAGTAATTTTTTTTTTTGAAGTCGAATACCCTAAATTACCCTAATCAAACAAAAGGATCAAGATCAATAAAAAAAAATATAACAACCTAACTGTTTCCAACTTATTTCCTCCATTACGAATCAATTTTATTATCTACCACAGCCACAAATAAAAAAAAATCGCGACAAAAATATTTAAAATAAGAACCCTTCTGAAGTACGCAAACAGCGTATAAGAACCGTTCAACGTGTAACTACATTCACAGCTAAGAACAATAATATTTTAGTGGCAAAATGACTCTCCCAGCGAACAGACGTGTTGTCGGATTATTAATTAATTTATTTATATTTTTACAAACAATATGCGGACAGTATCAAATACCTGACGTGACTATAAGTGCGTTAAAACCGCGAGGATTTCGCGCCTCAATACCAGGTTCGTTGACCTTTGTCTATTTATAACCTCACTTTTATTTTCTTTTGTTGTCTATGGACTTTAGATTACGAATGTTTTGATATTGAGTTCAAAAGTTAAGATATCTTATATAGATATATTTTATAAGGTTGAAAAGTTTGTTTGTTTAAATGCTATAATCTCAGGAACTACTGTTCCTATTTAAAAAGTAAAATAGTCCATTTATCAAGGAAGGGTACAGGCTATAAAACATCACGCTACGATCAATAGAAGCCGAGCCCGCTCGGGTGAAATCGCGCGGAAGTGTAAGTTAATAAAAAGATTCGAAAAAAAGTAATGAAGTAACCGATAGTGTTGAAAGAATATTTTTCCAAAAAGAAATAACTACTAAAATGTCGGTATTTTTATAATTTTGTGGGTTTTAAGGTAATAGAACTGTTAAAAACAATATACAATCATATTTAACAGTTGTAAGAATTTCAATTAGCACAATATATTTCTAATAGATGAATTAACGAGCATTAAATAATAGATGTCTTTGTTTTTTATTTGATATCTAATGTCGTATGAGTAACTTACTTTAAAGTTATTTCAGAATAAATATGATTTTTACATAGCACTAGTGCGGCATTTTATATACATACAATGGACACTACGTTGAACCTAGTTCTACTTCTTATCCTAGTATCCTACTAAATGTGAAAGTTTGTGTGAATATAAGTAGGTATGTATGTATGTATGTTACGTACACAAAAACTACTGAACGGATTTGATATACTGAACGGATAGATTATCATCTATCTAAACTATCGTCTAGGATAACATATAGTTTACTTTTTATCCTGAAAATGTGTCGAAATCTGTTGTAAAAAGTAATTTTATGAATGCATAAAAAATTACTATATGAAGTGTATATACAGCATACTTATTTCATATATACTATATGAAATAAGTATATATACTAAACGAAATATAAGTAGGTGTGCTGTTTGACGCTAAAAAACAAAATACATAGAAAACTGTCGTTTTTGACAGTTCGAAAAAAGTATTGAATTTGACTAGTTGGTAAGGACACAATTGTTGCTTACCCCTTCGAAAGATCAGTTGACTTATTTATTTATTTAAATCGACACTTCCCAACAGGTTACTCCCAATGCGATAATGTTGTCACTTAATATAAATACTTATAATTAACATTGTTATAACACAGCCATACATATTAATTGCACTTATCCATCAACTACATATGTACAACTAACAACTTATGTTATGTTTATTACCTTTCATATAGCTTCACCTAGCTTCACTGACGGACTGACTGACAGACTATTATTTATTTTGTATTTGTTGACGTTTCAAAAGTACCAAACTATGGTTTAATTGAAATAAATGCTTTGACTTTGACTTTATGTCATTAATTTTATTATTGCAATGAACCAGGCGTTAATTTACGTGTTGACTAGGTACTACTAAGAATTCCAAGACCATAAAAACCAATAACACTTTAATATAAACTTATAACAAACTGACAAAAATAACTAGTCAGTACTCAGTTGGTGTAGTTATCTACGTCTTAAATTCTTCTGGGGAATAACCACAATGACGCAAACCATGGTTAGTAGAAACCTGTAAAAACTCGTCACTATTTGATTAGACATTTTTTTTAATCGTTGCCCCACACTAGGCTTTTCCCCTGTGTCGTGGATGCGTTTACAAACATACAAGTTCGCATACACAATGACACCTAGACCCGGGACAACAATCTGTGGATCACACACATGATGACATGACACACACATGACTGCACGGTTGGTGCGGTAGCTGGGCAACCGGCTGCCGTGCAACGTGTCGCGGGTTCGATTCCCGCAAGGAACAACACTTTGTGTGATCCACAAATTGTTGTTTCGGGTCTGGGTGGCATGTGTATGTGAACTTGTAAGTTTGTAAACGCACCCACGACAGGAGAAAATCCTAATGTGGGGCAAGGTTTTTTCATAAAAAAAAACACAAGCAGTTGCTCCGTGCGGGAATCGCACTCGCAACACGTTGCGTGGCAGCCGGTTGCCCAGCCACCGCACTAACCGTGTTGTCATTTAAATTGTATTTCATTAAACATCGTCATCATCACTGCTGGATACAGGCCTCTTCAATGGTACGCCACTGATGTTGCTCCGTTATGTTTTTATGGCATAAGCCGGTAAACGAGCAGACGGATCTCCTGACGGTAAGTAATCGGCGTCGCCCATGGACACCTGGAACATTAGAAGCGTTACAAGTGCGTTACCGACCTTTTGGGGATTAGGAGTTTGAGGGTTGTTGGGGATTCAGGGATTGGGGAAGAGGGGGGCTGATTGGGCCTCCGGTAACCTCACTCATACGACGAAATACAACGCAAGCGTTGTTTCACGTCGGTTTCCTGTGAGGCCGGCCCATTCGTGCTGAAGCATGGCTGTCCAACACTTAACCGTTTCTATTTTCCTGGTGTAGATAAAGTTTGTTTATTAGATTCGTGCCGTGATTACAGGCGAGGCTAGCCATGACTCTTGCTCCTGAGTAGGTGTTGGAACGAGGTGGTTTGTCAGCCTGACACTCTCCTGCCTCACCCAGGATGGGAGAAGTCATGCGATTTTATTGCATCTTTAAAAAAAATATCATGAACTCAAGTGATAATATTGCAATGGATTGATTACTCAGTGCTACTATTGTATGACCCCAAAGGTCAGTGATGTAACGAGAGCGTATTATCTTATAATTGCAGTATTTCGCGACATTTTCCTTACTAGTTGTCTACAGTAAATTACTAATTTATGTAGATAATTTGACATAAGAAAGGCCTATGCATTTGCTAATTAAATAATTATTTAAAGTATATAGTTATCTCAATCTCAGTAGTAGCACGGAGTCTGGAAATGTGCCCGGTATATGCCAATAGGCTCACCCCCTATTACATGGAACTCATAACATAAATAATGAAAGGTGGGTTTTATATTATACAGTGGCATTAAGTGCCAAAATGTGCACCTCTGCCTACCCCTTCGGGGATAAAAAGGCGTGATGTTATGTTATGTAGTATATAGTTATGTACACGTTTATTTACATTGTTTTATGCATGAAGTATTAAATGAATAACTACTTACATAAATGCAGCTGAACGTGTCACTATCAATCAGATGAACTTTGATAATAGAGCCAGCATTTCTAGAGATTGATACGTCCAGACAAATAATTTAATTTGCTAAGACCTTATGTAAAGAAAATAAAAGTTAATACGTCACTAACAAGTATTCATAACAATAATATTTAAAAAAATGTGATTCCCCTTCTCCTGGAGTATTATCTTAATTGGATACTATATAAGAAGTAAAATAAATATGAGGTCAATACGCTGACGAGATGATTGGTCTTATCTACATAATATATGTTTTAATATTCTTATTTACCTAACAACTTATTAATAAATATTTGCCTATTAAAAAATGTTAAGTAGGCATGTTTTTTTAATAAATTCTTCGTAGTTCAAGGACGTGCTTATGGTTTTACATTAACTGAATCTTCATTTAACATAGGAGAGTTTTTATTACACTTATTAAACCGCTCAGTAATTTTTCATGACGTCTTTGCGAAGTAGAAGAAATATACTCTCAACAGAAAAACTATGAAGAACGATGACCTAGAAGGTCTTCCCATAAACTATGCTTCATATAAAGATACAGATGAAAGACTAATTTTATTTTGACCTGAAACCTCGTAATTTGACTTTTTCGTCTATAGAGATTGTTAGTAGCTAGCTGTATCCCAAACACACAGTTAAAATTTACTGATCGTAGAAAGCTAGATTTAGCACATAGATTTATTGAGAAATCCAATCGAGGTCGGTATGAAAATTCCTATGGGAATTGGTACAATGCTATCACCAAAAATAACTTCAACAGCTGGTGACAGTCATGTACTGGAAACTGCTCTACATAAAAATTTTGCCAAAATTTTCACATTTGTTGGACGGGTTGGAGATCCCAAGGTAGGTTCATGGTCATCAGAAAGCGCAGTACTCCAATCTGTGTCAAAATGAAATGTGGGGACCTATGGTTCTTTAGTCTACTCGCAGAATACCACACCCGCAGGAGAAACGGTTATGACATCACAATACGATGACATATGACCAAATGTGGTCAAGCTATGCTACATTATGCTGCTAGCTATGCCATAATTAAATAAGTTTTCATATTTTTCCAGATGCTCCAAATCTCAGTCTGTTCGTCTTCCAAGGGAATGTGAACCGTCCCATTGGTAGAACAGATGTTGGGACCATTTCTGGAGAAGTTCTGCAATCGAAGGATGGATGGTGGACAGTGGAAGAACCAGGCATAGAGCTGAAGATCGGAGACGTTATCAATTACTACGTGGTGGTTACTGCAGACCGAGCTGGTTATGTTAAGGATAAACTTAGCTACACTGTTACAGGTAGGTTTGACAAATATTTTTGCTAAATGAATGGTGGCCCGTGGTTAGAGATAAGGTTATAAAACATTCTGCTTGATTTTTGGGGTGGAAAAGGAAATTCGGTTGGTTATGATTTTCGAAATTCTTAATTATAACGGAATAGGGATTGCGTTTGGTGTTTGGATCAAGAAGAACAAGAATGGACAATGTGTCTAATATCACAATTGTACAAAAGTTTGTTTTGGTGACAGAATCATCATTATTGAATATCTGTAGCTCTCCAATTAGCACTAATGTGTCTTAAGGTCTTTTAAGAAAGGCTTTGGAAGCAATTATTTAATGACTCCATAGACATATCGCCAACATACCATATATAAAGCATTTAATGACATAGAAACCCCAATTCCAAAACTTGCCAACTGAGTACAGTACTCAGTTCTATTTTCAGCTCTCGAAGACCGGACTTTCACACCCAGTATCACTCCATCACCTGCAACACCTCGGCCAACACCAGCCGTCACAGAATGCAGACCAACGGTGACCTTGGTCCAAGGTGGCACCGCGTGCGCAGGCCAGACGATATTCGAGGAAAACTTTGACAGATTCCGAGATGATATTTGGCAGATTGAGCAGTATTTACCGTCTTCACCGGTAAGGTATTCCTTCAATTAACAAGTTTGTTTTTAATAATTATCATGTATGTTTTTCCCCTTAGGTAAAATGTTCCGTTAGTTTTTATGAATCATAACTTAAGGGGAAAATGTCGTGGTGGCCCGGAGGTTTAAGACGCCCGCTTCTCACGCATGAGGTTGCGGGTTCGAAACCTACCTACGGCAAATACCAATATGACTTTTTCCGAGTTATATGTACTTTCTAAGATTTTTCAGACACCACTGACAAACGGTGAAGGAAAACATCGTGAGGAAACCTGGGCTTATAATTTCTAATTATAAGTTTGTAATCGCCAACCCGCATTGAGCAAGCGTGGTAATTAGTGCTCAAACCTTCTCTGAGAAGAGGATTTGCTTATCAGTGGGCATTTATAGGCTGTTGATGATGATGATGATGAACTTAAGGGGCATATAACAGCATGTCTGTTACAGGGTGTCTAACAAGGACATTGAAGAAAAGACATGTCACTTAGAAATGATTGATGCATCAAAATGTTAATAGTTTTTATGTGTGCGTGTGTAATGGGTTACCACACCAGGCTTAAGAGAATGATAGATGCCCACCATGTCAATGTGTTTATGGTCTGCGTATAAGTCTATAGTAGCCAGGTAGTCGCGGAGAACCTAACGGGTAACCGGGGCTCCGGCTCGACGTGCAGCAGAAGGAACGGGGTGGTTTTTAGTCAGTAAGAGTCTGACACTCCCTCCCGCCTCACCCAGGCGGGAGCAGTCATTCGATGATTTTACCCCGTTAAAAAAAATAGTACCCAGGTGCCACAGTCGTTGTTTGAACGTCTTCGATATCTAATGCCAAACACGATTCATATTTTCTCACAATGACAAACTTTGTGCTGGATAACTGAAGACCGGAGAATATCTAACACCAATACGCAATAAAGGCTCACCCCCTATTACATGGGACACATAACATAAATAGTGAAAAGTGGGTGTTACATTGTACAGTGGCATATTGTGCACCTCCGCCTACCCCTTCGGGGATAAAAGGCGTGATGTTATGTTATGCAATACGCAATCATGCGTTGCCCCAGAACACGAACATTTTTGCTCGGAAGAGTGACCAACACAACCATTGTGTTTACTATATTTAATGGAAACACCAGCGATTTTTTTTAAATGTAGCTGAGCCCTCTATCTACACTAAAAAAAAACAATCATTTTACAACAAAACTTTGCTCTCATTTCAAATGTAACTAAATTGCCTTTTATACGACGTACGTTGTCAATTGAGATGATGCCAGGGTATGAAAATTAAAAATATAATTAGTCCGTAAGTTAGGTAATGAAAAAATATTGTAGGTACACATTTTTTTTTATTTTGTCGTATAATAAAACAATACTTAGATAAACGAATCAAAGTTTAGGAGTAGGGGCTAAAACGTCATTTCTACGTATAAAATGTGCATAGAAGTGACGTCACACGACATTTCAAATCAATATAATATCGTCGAAAGTATTCGTTTCTGTAAGAAAATAAAAAATACGTGGGTAATGATTTAAAATAATCTACCAGACGGATATTAAAATAAAAATTAGGCATCTATCCTATTAATTAAATATTTTGTAGTAAGTATTTACCAAGAAGTAAAAAATAAAAATGCTAGTGGAACCGTTTCTTTAGTAACAAATGTATGTATAATTGTATACATTAACAATTCTTTGTATCGTGGTTTCAAAGGAATAACCATTAAATGTTTGGCCTGCAAAAAGTAGGTTACCTCTTCACCTGCATAGTAATTCTGAACTTAAGTGACCAAGGTCATTGACACTGAATCGTTTATTTCTCAAAACCGGTTCAGCATACCTCGGGACTTTTTCTTTCTTGACTCACTTTTGCCTGTAGTACTTTTTTACTCAGAATATGTTGTAATTAGAATGAATCGATCGATTTCACTTAATTGACGTGTAGGTGAATACCCTTTTTCTTTTTGCATTATGGAGAAAAAGGATACAGGCTTGAAAACATAATATAACATCACGTCTTTTATCCCCGAAGGGGTAGGCAGAGGTGGACATTATGCCATTGTACAATGCACCAACAACACCCACTTTTCACTATTTATGTTATGAGTCCCAAGTAGGGGGTGAGCCTATGGCCATATACCGGGCACAATTCCAGAGTCAGTGCTACTACTGAGAATTTATAAAAAAAAACCCAGTAATACTTTGCCCATCCCGGGAACCGAACCCCCCCCCAAGACCAAGACCAAGACCCCTTGGGCTTGAGAGAGGCTTGAAAAATATTTCAAATTTTTTAGCTTTAATCATTAATTGTTTATTACCTCCAAAGATTTATAAGGAAAGATTCGCGTCTTTGACCTATAAGCGACCTGATGAACCGTAATATATATTGATGTATGACGATATGTTAAAGGGTGAACTGCTTTTCTATAAATTGGATTATCTTAACATAAAACTACTGAAATGTACTTATTACTTACAAACTCCTAAGATGTGTACCTTTTCTTTTTTTTGATGTCGGGGGGAAACCTTCAAAAGGCGCCTAGCTTTTTGGGGAGAAAGACTAGGGAGTGTGGGATTCTTACCTCACTAAAACCACCCCGGTGGCCACCCTCAGCACCTGTAAGGGGCACCGGGTCCTCTGAAGAGACCTGCTCCCGAGCCCCCACGGTGCAACGCCTGATACATCACAGGGAGATGAGCGTGTCCCTTGATCATCGCTTTGCACGACAGCACGTGACCACTGTGCTACCGTCTTCCCAGAAGCCACTAGATGGGCACCTAGAGTCCCCACTTTGTGCACCCGTGGCCCCTAAGAACCGCCTGCAGTTCATACAAGCGGGTAAGATGTGTACCTACTATAATTTAAACCTTTTTTTCCTGTTTTCAGAACTTCCCATTCGTCTCCTACCAGCGTCTGACTTCTGACCCAACCGTTTCTGTATCAAACGGTGAGCTGCGCATAGTTCTCAACCTGCAGCAAAGGGTACCAGGGTTCACAGCAGACTCCATCTTCACCGGGTCTCTCAACCTGTACAGTGGGTAAGCCCTTCTTGACATAAAGTCCTGTGTACCAGATAGCCGAATAGTGTATATTGCTTAATTCGTTTTGTTTACCTCTATGGGAGGACAATAATATTATGTATTATGAGCCACGTTAGCAGAGGATTTACCTTCAACAGCTTTCTCTGAGTAAGTAGTTGAAGTTTTAATTGTTTGATTACTATGCGGTTGACAAGAAAGGTCTCTGATTTGTGATTCAAATTGTTATGTAAGTCATGTCAAATTAATAGGATTTTTTATGTTTATTTATAGTCACAAAACTCCCGTGAAATTTTACTGCTAGACTATAACTATGACGCTCTTCTACGGTAAGGATTTATCATAAGCTCCACGCTTGCTAGATGGATCGGAGTTTAAATAATCAGGTTGATCAGAGAGCGCTGCTGCCCAGTTTTTGTCAATTATATTAAAGTAGTTACTGGAGACAAGTGATGATGCTTTTAGTACGTTCTTTAAACAAATATGTATATATTAATGTTACGTTTCATATTATTTGCAGATGCACATCATCAGCTGAAGCATGCATGAAGCAAGCATCTGGCGCAGACATTCTGCCTCCCATCGTCAGCGGCAGGATCATCTCCAAAGGTTTCGCCTTCACTTATGGAACTGTCACCGTAAGGGCTAAACTGCCACAGGGAGACTGGATATATCCAGGTAAGGAAAGAAGGGAAGGAACATTCTTTTCACACGTAGACAATAATATAATAGGAAACTACTTATAACATCTCAGAAAGGTCTACTTTTTGACTAGCCCAAAATCAAAGACAGCATTTATTTCAACTAAGCCAATAGAGCACTTTTTAAATAAAATTGTCTCCAGTTCATTAGTTATACTTAGGTTTTGTTGCAAACGATATTACGACAATTGTATGTAGGTACTTCATTAGAACTTAATTCTATTCCATGACGTGTAAATTTACCATTGATCTTATTTTACTTTGTCTTACGGGGAAAAACAGACGAGCTAAGACGGTATGCAAATTCGTCATTGTGCTGAGTGGTTGTCTATCGAAAACCGTATTAGCAAACTATTTAGTCATTCACAAGTGGAAAAAAGTACCTACCTAATACCTATGACAGATTAGTAAATCTTACTAAAAGTAAACTCCAACCTTGCAATAATTATAACAATTGACTGATAACAGAAATTCTCCTGGAACCATTCCGGAACAAATACGGCAGCCTCCATTACAGCTCTGGAGTGCTACAAATAGCATCAGCCCGAGGCAACAAGGTGCTTAGCAGTGGGACTACTGATTACTCTAATAAGGTATTATCTAATATTCTCATGAGTATTACTTACCCGTAGGGCCTATTTTAACGAAGTGTATATTTTTAGTTTGACCTCTTTCTTGGTAAAAACTACAGAACATGTCGATTGTGACGCAGGTAATTGTAATTTAGAAGTAAGTGGATGACTGCCTCGTTGGCTGAGTGGTCGCAAGTGCGACTACCGTCCTCAAGAAAGGGTCTGGGTTTTTTTTTAATCTGAGTAGTAGTATCTACTTACGAAGTCTGGAATTGTGCCCGGTATATGTCAATAGGCTCATCCCTATTACACGGGACTCATAAATAGTGAAAATTGGGTGTTATATCGTACGGTAGCATTAAGTGACGTAATGTGCACCTCTGCTTACCCTTTCGGGGGCGCCAGATAAGTGCGTGGCGGGATGAGCTCCGGTGCGATCTCATGGCGGAATGGCAGCAACGACTGGGCTCGCTGCCATCGCAGCGGTAAGTCCCCTCTTTGAAGAGTGGCTTGAGAGTCGCTACGGCGTCCTCACCTACCGCCTGACGCAGGTCCTCACTGGACATGGGAGTTTCGGGAGGTACCTGTGTCTGATGGGGCGGGAGGAAACGTCCGGGTGTCATCACTGCGAGGACCGCCCTGAGGACACGGTGGAACACACGGTGGGAGAATGCCCTTCGTGGGCTGAGCACCGCCGTGTCCTCAGGGAAGTGATCGGCGATGGCGACCTCTCGCGTCCGGGCCTAGTGCAGGCCATGATGCGGAGCGAGGGGGATTGGGATGCCGTCTCCTCCTTTTGCGAAGCAGTCATGCTAGCTAAGGAGGAGGCGGGACGCGTGAGGCAGCGAAGCGCTGCCTCCTCGCAACCCAGCCATCGCGAAGGACACACCGGGCGTCGGGGATCGCGGGACGATCTCCGGCCACCGTCAGCGCGGGCCTGCGGACGGCGAGCATGGGTGGCTCCCCGTCCGACCAGAAACAGACCCGAGCGTACGGCGCGTCGCGTTCCGCGCGCGCCTCAAAGAGCCATCAGACCACCACAGATGGGGCCCAATAGGGCCGATGCCGATTCGGAGTCGCGGAGAACCTAACGGGTAACCGGGGCTCCGGCTCGATGTGCAGGAGAAGGAACGGGGTGGTTTTTAGTCAGTAAGAGTCTGACACTCCCTCCCGCGGGGACAAAAGGCGCGATTTTATGTTAAGTAAGTGGATTAACATAAAACAACATCGTGACAGTCTAGAGCAGGATTTGATCCGAGCCTCTTTTACACAGCTACCGATAATCTCCATACACTGAGTAGATAACGTCAATAACATTGTTTAGTAGTAGAATGAATCGCATTGCAAAATTGCGTAATTTATCTTTCTATAATTATAATATGTTTTTGACACCTTCTTGCTCACTCCTTGCAATTGGTTTCATTCTTCTACTATTTAATGTTATAAAGGCTTGAGTACGATGCTTTAACATCATGGTTTCCAATTCCAGGTTCTATTCGGTGGTCCCATAATGGACCTGCAGTGTCACGACACATTACTGAACAGTAGAACACTGGCCAACGAACGCTGGGGAGATAGTTACCACGAATACTCCATCCGATGGGCACCAGGTAACTCGAAACACTTCTTTTTCTTCAAAAAAGTATTTAACGTAAAATCTACTTTTGAAACACAGTGCATTACTTGATAATGCACTTGTAACTACTATAGTGTTGCGCGTGCCATTAGGCAGCGCTGATTGCTTACCATCTGGTGGTCCATTTTGTTTGCCCTCCTAATCCATAAAAAACCCAACTGCTCTATAAAGGCTCCTGTAGCAGTCCTATAGCAGCATCCAACCACTGTCTCTATACGGTTTTCCATCTTTTTTGTAATTAATTTAGTTCTCTTCGCACAGATCGGATAACACTATCAGTGGACGGCGTGGAGTGGGCCCGCGTGGAGCCCGCAGCGAGTGGACTGCGCGGTCGGTTCCCTGAACAATGCACACAACTCCCTCGGAACTTGCTGCAGTTCGGATCTAAGATGGCGCCCTTCGATGATCATGTGAGTACTCCTGTTATTATGCACCTGATCATCAACTACCTCTGACAATCCCTTGCTGCGCTGTGGATATCTTCTATATAAAAGAAATTGACTGTAATCTACACGCTTGATAGGACAGGTTGAAGACTCCAATATAGAAGATTCAGGTTTATCAGAAAGCACTGATGAATGGCCTCTAAATAGTCCCTTAGTCGGTTTTTACGATACTCGCTGGAAGAAGTCTAAAATGTCTTCTACTTTATTGTAACCACTCAGCTATAAAGAATTATATATCCCAATCAAAGTATGTACTTTAAAATAACCTTTTACTCTTGACTCCACAGTTCTACATCGCGTTAGGAGTTGGCGCAGGAAGCATTACCGAGTTTCCTGATGGAGTGAAGACAGTCAACGACCGTCCCAAGCCGTGGAGTAATCCTGGAAGGAAGGCCCTCCTCAACTTTTGGCAGGACATGGACTCCTGGCTTTCAACCTGGAACCAGCCCCAACTCCTCGTGGACTATGTAAAAGTGGTCGCTCTGTGATAACAAAATCTATTTAGCCAAATATGTCAATGTGTTTAAACTGAAATGGTCAATGACACTAATGTTGGAACTTGTAAATGAATATTTATGTTATAAATACCAAATCAGATCCCTTATTTCGTATAATATACGTTGGCATAATTTTAATTCATATAATGATACGAATGTATTACCTATGTATGTAAAGGTAAGATAAATAACATTATGCAGTATTGTCTCATTGTATAAAAATGTGACAATGATAAAGGACTGACATTATGCCTAAAAACTATGCGAAATTGGATCAAAATATGTACTACAAAAACGTTAATATTCTAGTTATAAGTTCCAATTTTAAGTGTTTATAGAATTTATAAGACTGCTAATGAAATTGTCTAGATTGTATGAAAGCTTTTGTATCTGTTATGGGAACGGCTGCCTTGTACGAGAGTCATTTTGTTTTAAAATCCGCCATGATATCATTTACTTTTATTTAAATAAGTGTAATGTAATAAATTAATAACAAAAGATAATATGTTTTATTTCCAAAATAATTCTTCCTACTCAAAAAATAACAAGATCTATTTTGTGTTACATTCTTCGTGAATAACATTTGCTGATTTTGACATGCCTGGCAATATCAACGTCGCAGTGGACTTAGGAACATAAGTCGTGCGTTGTCGCCATATCAGTTCAAATCAGCCGACATCATATGACTTCTCGCCGATACATGTCGTGCGGTATTCGTGTCCTAGTGTATCCTTGGCATAAGTGTGAGAATGTGGGTAAATGGGAGACTGTGGGTAAGTGTAAAACTGTGAGAACTATGAGACTATCAATATTTAAATATTAAAAGCCATAAACGCCACGAATCTTATCTAACGCATTGTAAACATTACCACTTAATACCACTTGAAGATGTTGGACAACGCTTGCGTTGTGTTTCGTCGTGTGAGTGAGGTAACCGGAGGCCTAATTACCCCCTCACTAATCCCCGTCTCCCGAATCCCCGAATCTTCCTCAATCCTCAAATTCTCAATTCCCAAAAGGCCGGTAACGCCTTGGAGTTTCGAGTGTCCATGGGCGGCGCCGATTACTTACCAACAGGTGACCCGTCCGCTAGTTTACCGGCTTATGCTATAAAAAAGAAACATGCTCCTTCTGTGTGATATCCTGCGGGGTGGGATAGACAGCGTGATCTCTTGTGATGCGTTGAATTCTGCACACAAGTCTCGAACAAGACATAGGTACCTCACCTGCTTAGTATCCTAACATCGTACGAATAATGAAAAAAAATTTCGACTCGACTACTTCGCATTTACACAGAAAAGTTAGAAAGTGTGCATATATTTTATTTGTTAAAGGTATCCTTTCGTAAGTAGCTTGTACAAATACTCACTATACTCGGAATTTTAATTCGATTCCAGATTTCACAATTTCAGTGTTGCAACGTTATGACAAGTACTAAATAGTGACGTTGCGAAATTATTCGATATGGAAATGCAATATTTCTGGATCGATTCTTCTCGTTTATAATTTTACTCTCGTAAACTAAGGATATCAGGAAATTAAATATTTCTGACCGATAATTTAGTTTTGACGATTACTTAACGATCTGAGACTTTTCTTTTATAATTGTATGTGAAATAACTAAAAAAATGTAATCATGAAGGAAAAAAAAGGACAAATAAAACAGATAGATGTATTATGGTAATAAGTTATTTTATAAATTGTCGCCGTCATCGCTATCGCTATCCTGTCACTTTCTGTATCATTTATTATAAAACACACACACACTGATTGTTTATCGATTTTTGTGTTCATCACTACACTATTATATGTGGTATCATTATTTCACAAAATGACAGTAGCTATTGTCAAATCTGGAATCTAATTAAAATTCTGACTATAGTGTATGACTCTTATAGCATTATTATTTTTGTTACTTATTGCTAGTTATGTAAACTTTCCTAGTTTCTTTAATTTTATTTTATATTGTTCACTCTCCTACTTTTACCTAAAGCATGCTGAAAAACTCTGTAATTGGCTTAAAGTTTATTAATATATGCCTTATCATTATTATACATGTATGTACCCTTTACTAAATAATCTGTTGAGTTTTCTGTGTAATAAACAAATAAATAAATAAATCAGTGACACTCTGAGTAACTATGAAACCGTATCTGTGATAGTTAAGTATGAGACTGTATCAGTGGCACAGTGGGTAAGAGACTGGGTAAGTTGAGACTGTGGGTAAGTTGAGATTGTGGGTAAGTTGAGACTGTGGGTAAGTTGAGACTGTGGGTAAGTTGAGACTGTGGGTAAGTTGCGACTGGGCAAGTGTGAGACGCTGTGGGTAAGTATATAAAAGTACGTGGATGAGTGGAAATAAAATAAAAAACAACAAACACATTTGGAACTATTTTATTTGCACGGTGTACATGTCTGCACAGCTAAGATAATAGAATTCTTCGCTATACGAAACATTAACGTATTTGACTATCATTTTGAGGGCTGGCCACACTGTTTAAAGATGTTAACAAGTAGCTTAGATCATTCAAAATGAATCTGTATTTGTGCATTGAAACATCACCCCTATTACTACAGCCTAAGAATCAATTTTTCTTAGATTGAGTTTCAATAAGTCAGTTAGCAATTTAAACTTGTTCCTTGTAAAACATACTTAACATTTTAACTACCAACTTTAAGATGGTGAAAGTCAAACTTCCACTAGAGTCTAGCACCGGGGACTCGCGTGGCACTGTAACCGCCGTCCTCAAAGTCGTTTAACCCCTTATCTGCCAGTATATGAGACATAATAGAAAACACATTGTGTTTCGCGTATATGTACGTCCTCGGCATACCAGAGGTTAATGGCTGCTCAACCCAGTCCTTAGCGATTGTTTTTGGAACAAAGTCGTTACTAAGGAATATTTTAAGTTTAAGTAAGCATTAAATGTATCTGAGAACCACAGTAAGAGTTAAATATTTAAGTTAACCATCTCTAAACAGTACAACCACCAATTTGTTACAACTGTAATTATTCAGAACTGGTTTAATTCACAATTTCACTATTTTACAAAGAGGTGAAAACAGATTGAGAAAATGTATTTAGAATACAAAATATTGGGTGGGATTATGACCGTTATGGTTAAGGTTATAGGTACTATTTTTAATTGTTTTTTTTTTCATAGCTTGATTACACAATGGTTTATATTGATACCTATTACATAAGATGTATACGGCCGTTACAACAACAAATAAAATATGTTCTTAATGTTGACATTTGTTTATGTTACATGTTTTTTCGTCTCCTGTTAGTCCCACAACGGTTACAACCCCACCCAACCTTATAAAAGACTACAAATACTTTGATCAATTAATTGATATTACATTAAATATTTTTTATTTTAATTTTTTTTGTTATAATTTCAAATACATTCAAATTTGTAACCTCCTACGTCCTTTTAAAATGCCCTAAGTGCCTTAAATTACTACAGAGAGTCAATCCCTACTTAACATTTACTTGTAGGTAGTTTAAAAACATCAAATATCTTAATTATAGTGAGGGGACACGTCTAGCGAACACCGATATTCATAAATCGACTTTTGATTAAGACAATAAAATGTCGATATTCGCTAGATGACGGCCCTGCGATAGTATAACGATAGCTAGAAGATAATATAAGTCGCAGAGACACAAACTTACAGATATGACTCGGGATCACATAGAAACATTACATCCTATCACTTCTATTTCATACAAACTCACGTCTTTTGAACTACTCGACACGAATATTCAATGATTACTTAACAATATCTGGTGTTCATTACAAAATTATTCCTATGAGAAAGAAAATAAAAACGGAATTATAAAAAAATATACGACAATTACATAACTGTCTATAATTCACATAATACTACAACATCAACAAAATTGTATGTACTTAATTAAAATTAATAATGGCAAGTCGTTCAAAAGTCGCGTCGAAGATCATAAATACTTAAAAGCAGAAGTTTTGATACGATTTCATAATTTAACTAATAGATAAAAGGAATTACATTTGACTAACAAACATTATGACATCTGTGACGTTACGTTGTTCTACTAAATAAAAACAATTGTTTAGAAAAACCTTCGTGTAAACTCTAGAAACGGATAACATAGGTGATGACTAAAGACAAAGTTTAAATTCAAAATACAAAATTAAATATCGATAGTATGTATCGATACTTATTTCTACAGACCGTTGACAACACTAGTTCTTCGACGTAAACATTAACAATTTCCCTGTTTTCATAAATTTTACATAAAAATCCGTTTCTAGCAGACATAATAGAAATAAATGGACAAAATTAATTGTATTAAGATTACAATATATATCGCCACCAACTCTCATACAGTCTTCCAAGCACCTTATTAGACCAAACAAATGAGATTTACGAATATTGATACAATACCAGGCGTTAAATATTGCGCATCGACTTTTGGAAAGAAACAATTATGTGTGATATTACGAAACAATTTATTTCTACAAAACTTTTATGATTCGAGGAGAGTGCATGCGGCGGCCTGACCAATTGTAGCCTTCCAAAGGTCGTGAAATATTTATCGCTAGGTATTGTACATGCAAAAACAAAATATGCCTGTAATTCTCCGAAAAGGCGCAATGAGCGGAGTACCTGTGGTACATCCATTCGCCTTACATTTTGTTACTCCCAATGATATGGGGGCGAGATTGTTAAAATCAATAAAAATTAGGCCTAAATTCTACTATGATATGTAGAATTTTCGGCCCTTGTCAAATCAAATACTAAAATGAAGGACGTGTTACGGACATATTCATGAGAGAGAGCAGATAGACTGCAAGATACCACAATTTTACGGTCAGTAATAATAACCGATCTGATTTCTAGTCTTTGGCTCCATGTAGTTTTTTGACACTGAATTTTTATCATAGACTTACATCCGAATAATTAGACGTGGGTTAGTAATTTTGGCTGCCAGTGTTCTTGTGCTTTCATTTGATATTGTTAAAAATAGTTTTGATATCAATATATTTTTGCAGTCGTTGCAGTTTATCTCACCTCACCAAGTTAACTGTCGCCATTGTACACAAAAATAACAGAATTGAAATACAATAAAAACCTTGTAATATCATCCGGGGCCATATTATTGATTATCACAGCCAACACTCACTCCCAAAACGAAATTGTTTCAAGGGAACATACTGTACGATTGGAATTTTAATCTCAACCTTTTTGGAAATGAAACTGCAAAAGATCATAAAAAATAACAAATGTATTTCGATTTATTATTATTTGCGTTTTAATGAGAACTATCAAGCACTCATTGGTTAGCTAGATAACCCAAAAAAGTATACTTTGTCGTCTGTTCAATACTAAATATTCGGTTAAATGAACTTTATCGTAAATACTTAAGGATCATTTTACTATAAAAGACATAAGATTAAAATTCCGATCGACGTACGATCATAAGATTTCATTGAATAGGACATCATATATACGATAGTATAATCATATAGTTTTATATTAATTTGATTAGATTAAGTAATAAGAATAATATTCATTTATTCGTGCTAATATAAGCTGTTTCAAGCTATATTACAGCAAACATGTTACATCGAATAATATAGGACATATTATATATTTTTTCCCACAATTTTAATAAAATTTAGACCGCTGCTAGTTACTTTTAAAAAGGAGTATTTAAGTGATTAAATACGTTTTGTGTAGGAGTGATCCTACACAAAACGTGTTTTAAGTATTTTAAACAGTTTTAAACACTGAAATTTTCAGTATACATTCGTGAAAAAGGAGCCTAGAAATCTAGACAAGTGTTTAAAGCATTTTCATTCTAATACAGGTTAAGAAGTCGTCAGAAATTCACGTAACAGCAACATGTAACATAGCATGTAATACGAAAGGTGTTGCAAAGTTACGTGGTGCGTTGCACGTTGTGTCCATGAGATAGACATCGTATTTATCAAGTATACTTTAAATATCAATAATTTAAATTAATTTTTTGTCACTACATGTTTTTTTAGGTATTTTTTTTAATTCCCCTTTGGGTTTCTATACCTAGATTTTAAGATTTAACATTATATAGGGTGATACAATGCTGCCCACACTTTTTTGAAACTATGCGTCACACGCTTATATTATGATTTCGCATAGATATTATTAAATATCATTTTCTTTAGATAATTCAACATCTATGGTCCACAAACTCTAATACATTTTTTTATTTTTTAAGTGCCAACGTTTTTGTTGACTTACTTTATCCATTTGAAGTAACAATAGCCTCTACAAATCCGTTTACAATTTATTCAAGCAATTGTGACTTTTATACCAAAGGCATAGAGATGACGTCTAGTGAAAATATAAGTTTGCATAAATCTATACATCTTATTCTCATGAAAGTACAGCTCAAAATCACTTGATTAAATCGTGATTTTGGTTGAAATGTTAAATTTTATTTCAAATGTCTATATGAGTCAATTTATCTTAAGTGACATAAGCAAAATTTTACGTTAACAACATTATCTTAATAAATTAGATTTTCTAAAGCGACGAGAAGCGATTGAAGCTGCTTTTTTAGTGCTATTCACATAGCATTAAGCTAAAACCATTTGTGTTACTACCGCATTAGTTGAAAGAGATAGACATATACTAGTTATATAGCGTTATCCCTCTCTAACATGACATGAATATACCCGTTCATTTATAATTTATTTAAAATACAATCACTTATGTTATAGACACAGAATTTCTAGCTGGGTTTGCTAGTCGGAAAATGTTTTTAAATGGTAACACTACGATTTTAAAATATCGATATTTGAATGTTTTTATTCGATAATATGGTTCGCATCTCTATTTTGTTTCTTGTAGCCAAACCCAGCCTAAATTACGCAAGAACATTAATCTAATATCATAACTTTATTCACTATCGAAGCTAAAAACCTTCTAAAATATTCAAGCGAGCTGGCAACATTGATTGTCTAAATATAACATTGACGCCGGTATAATGACAGGCTATTCAATTTTAAGTTGTAGTTAAATATCGTGTCATCTCTGTTATTTTGTGTGGCAGAACTATATTTAAGCACGACTTAAAATGAGAAGCCTTTCACTATTCGAGCGTGAGAAATAAATATGTAGTAATTCATATATTTTGCTTTCATAATAGAGGTGTAATACACCTCAAATTTTATCGATATTTTTGAGAAGTTGGTACGTTACCGTCATCTTTGATATTAGTGCTACTGGTGACTGATAAAATATGGAAAAATAAAGATAGGAAACAAACAAAGAAATGGCACTATTTTATATCATCGAACAATAGTTAGATCTCTTTCTAACACTGGGTATTTAAAGCATACTTAAATTTAAATGCTGACCTAGTACGTGTAGTTCTTCTCTTTTAGTACCATGGTAACATAAGATTCCAAACGTCCACAATTACCTGGACTAGTATTATATGAACTTCCATTATAAAGAGAGGTCACACGAACTGGTTATTGACGGTAACGTGTAAATTCATAAATATTAAAATAAGTCATAATATAGTCACTGGTGCTTCCATCTAGCAATACTAATATAATTCATATAAAGGCTGAGATCTTTTACATGTATTTTGGTAGAAAAAATTACGATGTTCGCTTAGCGGCGCTACTGTAGCAAATAAGTGTAAAGACCATTTTCAGGATTGATTGGATTATAAAATTGCGTTTATGTACTGAACACGACTTAAAACGACAGTGGCGCCGCCGAATGTAGCGCAAAAAATATTTGATTTTGTGTTAGAGTGAAATTATGTTTCACATCTCAGCCTTAGTATTTTATGAAGGAATGCTTTTATCAACACATGAGTTGGGATTTTTAGAGATTTCATCTATTAAAACTTTTTCACATATTTATGAAAAGTTGTAGTACATATTCTTTTGAATAAGTTCTAGATATCATAATGATATTAACACTGTCACATCGATTACATAACTATTGTTCATTTTCATGTCAAATGTCATAATTTAAATGCATAATTGAGAGATGTCTCCCTTTACTAAACGACTCTAACATTGCAGATCATCTTAACACTATTTAAACGATCTAATGAGATTTGATAATATAATAACAACATTCTACAAACATAACTTAGTGGATGACTCTGCAATGTTAGAATGCGCCAATTGTCTACATACAAACTATCTTACTACAACATCAACGTACATACACAGCACACCATATACGACAGACACGTTTCAACTCAATAAAATAACCAAAAAATATCGAATTCGTGTCGCGCATAAAAAACACCGATCGAAAATCTACACTTACTTAAGAAACAAACTTATTTATCAACAACCTCACACAAAAATACTGCGGTAATTTCTAAAAACTCATAGGAATATCGATTTTTCCGTCGTATATGGAGAAGGGTGGAGATTGAGACTCAATCTCACTCTCCCGCGACTCACTCACTCCCGCGACACTCAAATTTTGAAAGTTTATTAGTCCCAATGTGTTTGGTCGAGCGGTCGGGCCACTTACTGCGCCTTGCCGTCGGGCTTGTGTCATACAAAGTCCATGGCGTCCCGGGACTTGCCCGTGAACTTACCTGCCGCGCGCTTCTTCAGGCTTCGCTCAATCAACTTCTTAATTTCGCTCACTATGAACACGCTTGACGTTAGACTTACCAGGAATATTAAATCTGGAAATAAATCGAAGAGTAATTAAATTACACATGTAAATTTCACTTCATTTAGATTACACGAAATGTACTGTTGTGTTGTTTTACATAACAAACTTACAGAAAATAATATTTAAATCTTTTAATATTACCAGACGTCACTATCGAACATAAGGAAAATATTGTAACTGAGTAATTGTGTGTAAGTATTGTAATTGTGAGTAACCCGCGATTTTTGTTATTTTAGTATGTCTCACGATAGTTATTGTAAGATGTAATATCAAAAAATTTAGACGTATAGCACTGTCCGAAAATAACATTAACAACTCATACCAGGGAAAAATTAGTTAGATAAAATAATCCAAAAATCTACATACCATGTCCAGTGAGCGCTTCAGTTAGGAAAACCTTCTGCAACGGTGGGAAGTATATCACCAACATTTGTCCCACGAGACTCAGTGAGACTGCCACTAAGAACATCTTGTTAGAGAACAGTCCCACTTCGAATACAGACTTGGTTTGCGATCGACACGAGAGCGCGTTGAACATGTCGAATAGTACGAAACAGGTGAATGTCATTGTAGTATCGCGGGGAGTTATACGGGAGTCTGACATCTGGAAACAAAATATTAGTGTGATTGAGAGAAATGAACAACATAAAAAGATAGGAGAGAATCAAGACTTAGAAAGAAGAGATAAAATTACAATGGAAAGCAGAATAAAACAATGAGATGACAAAGAGATAGGGCTGGAACAAGAGAAACAAGGGAAATAAAGAAGAAAAAATAGTATGGTGGACAAAGGGAGTATGGGAGGTGAAAGGTGAATAGATGGAGAGAGGGTGCCAAAAGAGGGGCAAAGAATGGAGAAGAGAAGGAGTAAAAACGTGAATAACAGAAGTGGTAGGGAAAGGGGTTAGTTCGATGGACGTGAGAGGGGTCTGAGGGCGGGAAGGCGAGGAAAAGAGATCATATACCTATGGAGGAAGAGTAATAGAAATAAAATTTTACATATTCTAAGATTAAAGAATCAGTAATATAGTATAAGTTCGTACCTCTCTGTTGAACACCCAGAGCGTGCCCGCGATGATGATGGCGGCGGCGAGCAGTACGTTGAGCAGTAGCGCGCGCGAGATGATGCGGCGCGACGTGTCCCGCGGCCGCCGCCGCAGCACCGAGTGGTCCACCGGCTCCACGCCCAGCGACTGCGCCGGCGGACCTGTCAGCGGTACGCGAGGTAAATATATCATCGGTGATGAGTGCGGACGACCATCGAAGGGGCTTTTTGACTTTTTAATTATCAGCAAGAACTGTGACAACCACCTTAACTATTGCAAAGAAACTCGAAGGCTCTTATGGACATTACAAAAAGTATCTACAAAGACAGTAAAAAAAGAGGAATTGGCCGTTCTCAACAACGTATCTTAAATTTGAAGGAACCCCAAGGAACAAGGTTAAAGCACATGACAATTACCGACATATTGGTTTTCACCAACGTGTAAGTGACACCTAAACACAAGTAAGGGATTAGTTTAGGTGCTACTTTATGCCTTGTTCGCACTTGTTTAGTCAAGTAGCGAGTATTTAGTAACTCTCTCTCGCTTCGATTTTAGGACAGAAGCGAGAGGGAATTAGTAAACACTCGCTGCTCGATTATAATACTAGCATATTGCGAACAAGGCATTAGGCTAAGTAACTTTCAGTTAAAGGATGGTTTAGGAGTTGTCGGTGAGAACATCTATAACACGCTTTAAAACAAACGTCACCAAACACACTGACATTTATGGTCCGATATAACATGAAATGTTAATTTTCTTGGTGCAAATCTGACATTTAAAGTTACATAGAATAAATTATGTCGACTTACCGTCCATAATAATATTGATCCAGAGAATCTGCATGGCATTCAGCGGATTTGGTATACCCATGAGAGTAGCGAGCGCGATGAGTGATAGAGCCGCGATAGACGTGGACAGTTGGAAGCGGACGAAGTTGCGGATGTTGTAGAAGATACATTTTCCTTCTTCTATGGCCGAGCTGTAAAAAAAAATTATTATGTCGCTGTGTTACGGTCAATAATACAAACAGTCGTAAGAGAGATGACTGGCGACGACGAGTTATTTTATATGAGGGGTTACCAAGTAAAATCGTGTAATAAAACGGTAAGGCAGCTAACGACGTTCTAGCTCCAAAAAACAACTGTTTGGAATGAAATGTAATAAGCAATGACTGACTGACTTGATGATAACTTATAACTAGTAATAACTTGCTCGAATATAGAATATCGACTTACATAATAGTTCCAAAGTCGTCATCAACAAGAATCATGTCGGCAGCTTCCTTGCAGACGTCGGTACCATTGCGACCCATCGCGATACCAATGTCTGCGCGCTTGAGAGCTACACCGTCGTTTACACCATCACCTGGTAACATTAAACATGTTATAGTAAGTTTCTCAAATTACTTCGTAAGTTGCGCAAAACGTGCATAAGATGCGCAAAATGTTCAGTAGTTGCGCAAAATGGTCATGAGTTGCGCAAACGTGCACTTACTTTGAGCGTAACGTTCACGTATTGCGCATCAATGTTTATATGAATATGTCAATACTTTGATTCTATGTGTTACCTGTCATGCCCACAATATTGCCCACTCGCTGCAGTGACTTCACTACAGCCAACTTATGCTTTGGTGTCACCCTGTAGAATACGCTTACCTATAAACAAAATTTTACATTCACATATAAAGGAATGTTAAAAGAAATCATTTTTAACGAGGTGGATTATTGTACCGACTCAATATCATGAGCATAGTCCATCAGACTAATGTAATTTTAACGATATGCATAAAAATTAACAATTTTTTTCTCATGGTCAATATTGTCTTTATTAATAAGAATTCAAATTAAATACACATATACAATTAAAAATATAAATAACTAAAAACTAAAATATTTACACCTTAAAAAAAAGAAATAATAATAAAAATACTATCTTAAGGCATCAGAAATTAACAAATATTAACAATTTTTAATCAGTAACTTACAGTGTCGATCATCCGGTCCAGTTCCTCATCAGACATGGCGTCGAGCTGGTCTCCGGCCAGCGACTGAGAGTGTAATACGTCTAAACCCACCATTTGAGCTGGAATAAACAGTAAATATTACTTTTACTAGTTACAAGTAATTCATTATGATACAATAGTTCCAGTGGGAAAATAGTGGTCGTTTCATTCACACAAAGAAACAACGAATGTATTGATCCATCATCGGATTTTCTTCGTGGCCACGGCCTCGCGCACGCCCGGCCACCAGGAGCAAACAATTAGAAGTAATACAATGTCCCGTACCGACAGCGAGCGCCGTGGGTCGCGCGTCCCCGGTGAGCATCTTGACGGCGACGTGCGCGCGCGCCAGCGTGGCCACGGCCTCGCGCACGCCCGGCCGCGGCGGGTCGCACACGCCGCACACGCCCGCGAACGACAGGCACTCCATGCCCGCCCCGCGGGACAGCGCTATTATACGGAGACCTGCGGGGAACACACCACATTATTCCCCGCTTTCACCAACCTCTCCTCTTTAAAATAAAGTAAATGACACTTAGAGCCGATTTTTCAAATGCCAGATAAATTTTAAGTTAGGAATAACTTTGAATATTTGACAATTCTTTCAGACTAAAAATTGATAAATGTCAATTTTATTGTACAATCATTAACTGGTGATTAAAAATTGGCCCTAAACGTTTTGATTTTCACCAATCTATTAGTAACACATCTAACAACACCTTGTTGAGCTTGAACATAGGGAAGATAATATTGTGTGCCTTCCCATATTCTAATACTTTATCATGCTCTAAGAACAAATACATAGGTGTACTAAATAATACACTACACCAAATGACATGTCACAATGACAGACTTTTTGACACTAATAAATTTCAAATCAGTACTTTTATTTTTACAAAGAAAGGTGTACCTTTCAAAGAAATGTCGACAAAAAATTGCTATGCTGATAGCATATAATATTAACACTGTTTTTTTTTTTTTTTTTTTTATAATATTAAAGATTATTTCTCCACGGACTCTAGGTCCGTGCCCTTGTCATACAGTTTTTTAATTATAATACATCTAGTCAATATTTATAAAGTAAAGAGGGAACCTAGTTACATACTACAATTAACTACATCTATAATTATTAGCAAAAGTATAGGTTACATAATAATTAGGCACTATTTATTTATTTCTATTTCAAAGGCTTTATGAAACCAGCCCACCAACACGATGGGAGAGCCGACCTGACCCAGCAGAAGGCACCCGTTCACGAGTATGACGTGTGTGTCAGCAATTGGTCCGGTCAACCTTTTTATTGGGAACGGAACAACCCAACACACAGCGCCACCGACTGTAGGACATTTATGTGTGCATGACGCCTCAACCCTTGCCACATGGGCCGATTCCAATAAAGCGTACAATAGTCCAAAATTCAATTGGTCATATTCTATTTCTACATGTTTCTGCACACACATTTCCTCATGTTGCATTCGTTCCATCACAAGCAACACTCCCCGCCCAAGAGAGCACCCACGACTGCCGCGTCCCTGTGTTTGATGGCCATTTTCAGGTTGTAGTCCTTAATACCTTGCTCACCCTCATCAGCCGCCTTCCTGATTAGTTTGCTTATCGCGTCTTCACTGTTGTCTGTGTAATAGATGCAACCATGCGTGTGACGCGATATTGCTACTACCGCGTGTGGTACGCTGTCATGTATTTGATGTTTCTTTGTTGCTGTGTTGACAACAATCACATTCGCACACGAAAGTCCCTGTGCCTCGTGTATCGTGAGCACGCGTGATCCCACGGTCGACCCGTATCCCTGGTTCTTAAGGGATTCCTTCTCTGCCTGAGTGTGTACCAGGTATAAAGTGTCGGGGAGTGACTTTGGAATCATCGCCCCCGAGAACCTTTTTATCTCGAGGGATCTCACGAACGACCTGGACGAATATATGCCACTGTAAACTGTGCTGAGGGCATACGCCACATCCATTGGATTTCTGTGGGTACACATCAATTCCTGGCTTATGGGCGTGATATATGTAGGGCGGCTGTAGAGTAGAGGGAAGAGGTTATCACGATCTATAAACGGAAGCTGATTTATGTCACCAATTAGAAGGACTTCCTTGGCTCGAGTTATTCGGGCGGCCATCACAACGGCTCCAAAGTGGTTCATGAGAGCCTCATCTACCATTAGGCGATGGCAGCTCTCTCGCTCCCCCAAGCCGTTTACTAGGATGGACGCCATTGTTCGAACCCTAGATTTGACGAGTCCTCCGATTCGGCAGGATAGTTT